GCTATTGTGCCTCCCACAAAGGAATACAGAAGTGGCCCATACCGAGTGATTCATACATCTCTGACCAGTCTCCCCTCGCCAGGTTCGTGTTGATTGTACCAGGATGTAGACTGACTGAGATAAGGCCTCTGCCCCCAAGCTTTTGCGCCAAGGACACAGAGAAGAGCATGTTGGCTGATTTGCTTTGGCCGTAGGCCAGCCAGGGGTCATAGTTTTTGCCTTCCTGATACAAGCCATCAGCTTATTGTATCGACATTGAAATACCATGACATAGATACTCACGTCAAAATTCCAGTCATGGAATCTGACTGGGCTCAAACAGTGGCCATTACTCGACACATTCACAACTCGTCCGGGGTTTCCAGGGTTCGCTAGCTTTGCTATAATCAAATTGGTGAAGAGAAAATGTCCGACGTGGTTGGTAGCAAATTGACTTTCGATTCCATCATCTGTTAGCGAGAACGGTGATGCCATGACACCAGCGTTGTTGACCAAGACGTCTATATTCTCCTCGTATGTCAAGACCTCCTTAGCGGCACTTCGGACTTGGGCCTGAGAGCGCAGGTCTAGTTCGAGGAGACGGGTGGGTACTTCTGGAGCAATGCCTGCAATCTCTAGAGCAGTCTGTCGAGCTTTGAGAATATCACGGCTAGCAAGAATGATGAGGGAAGGGCCGTAAACGGCAATAACCTTTGCAAACTCGGCACCAAGACCACCTGGGCTAACGCCAGTAACGAGCACGGTCTTGTTGGCAATAGCATTGTGGAGGTCCTGTGCCACCTGTTCTGCTGAAGTCTGAAAGGAATATGAAGACATTGTAGCAATAATGGCTTGCAGAGTTTGATACTCAGGTAATGAAACCACTTCTGAAGGATATCGGCAAAGTAATGATGATGTGGATGGTGGATGAGAGGTGCTCTGGATGGAAAAATGACGGTAGTATATATAGTACTCTGAATGAAATCTGCCATAGTTCCTACTAGATAAGCCCAGTCTCTACATAGTCACGGAATTAACGTACACTTAATGCCAACTCATAGGTACTGTGGTCATCAATCCGGCCCGTCTTGCTCCTTATGCTGGCTCATTTGGTTGATTTCCTATTTGGGCCGAATTTATCTGACACTTGGCAACCCGATTAGGTTAGCGCATGAGTCTGGACATGTCGGAGATAACGGAGCCACGCTAAGCCCGATCGCTTTGGACAGGATGATTATCCCATATGACCCTTGATTTACTTCATCGCATCTTCCTTCCTCTCTATGACCTCAAGAATCTTCCAGTCTCTAATATTCGTATCCAATGGAAAGCATCCCGAGTGAGGTGGTATTTTCAACGGGGCCATTACAATCCGAATCAGTTGTGTTCCAGTATGCCAATGGTCCAGTTAAGGTGTCTCTACCAAGGAGGAGAGGGCGTCCTGCAGGATGTGAGTCCGTAGATCCACCTGACATACGAATGAGCTGACCAAGGATAGCGACAAAAAAGAGGCGACAGCCTGAGGGATCCGGGCGTCAGCCTCCGGCCGCTTCCCACTTTCAGTTCATTAACCTTGGGCCCACCATGACCCGAATCGATGAAGCAGCTCGTACCACCATCAGAAGCCACACAATGATTAACCGCGGTCGTCGAGAACAGAAGAAAGCGGGGAACACTCAAGGGAGTGGCTTTGAGCTGTCCCGTCTGGCCCGTATTGATATTCCACGTGCATATCCGCAGAAAAACACTACGGATCCCTTTGACATGCTACCAATCGCTATGGAGCCATACATGTTTGATCTGTTTGCGTTTTGTGAGTGACAAATGCAATATGTCGTCTTCCCTTACGCGCTTAGCTAACAGCATGTTGTTGAAGACAAGGATCGCGCATCAGAGACACTTTACTCAATCGAAAAAAGAGCTGGCTGCAATCCTATAGATGACTATTGGATACCGATACTGTTTCAAGATCCAGCAATGCTCCATGTAGTACTGGCCTGTGGATCGTTATTCACCATGGATCTGCAACGCTTTCGTGCAAGTCCCGCTTTCATATGGCACATTAGTCGAGCTATGAGCATTATTCGAAAGAGACTGGTGGGTTCGGTGGATGCACCTTCGGACGAAACAATAGTTGCTGTTGCCAGCATTGCTATCGCAAAGGTTGGTAGAATAAGCTGTAAGTGAATCAAAAGCAATTACTGACAGACTTACAGAAGGCAGCGGGACAGCATGATCAATGGGAAGTTGACATGCGAATCCTGAAAGCACTCGTTGATATGCGGGGAGGACTGGACGCATTAAATGATAAACCACTAGTACAGGGAAAGATCTACCGGTCAGTTGCCTCCTCTCTACTCGAGTGTCGGATAGAGCCTTACCCGGTCTCCCAGGGCCGATATCAGTGGGTCCTTAGACGCTGCACGGAAGCCTATTTTCAGTAATCGGTTCCAGCAACCACCTATACCAGAATCCCGAGAGTACCATCTAGCCCATGGGTTCCAAGAACTGGATAGTTTGCTGCACATAGAACACGCCCTCAAAGCGGTGATCTGTGATATACAACGTTTAGTCGCGGAGTTTTCCAGTATTACCAAGAGCAGCGGTCAAACTGTCGTTGCGAATATTCGTTTCTGGACGACGTCTATCCAGTATACACTCCTTTCGTTGCAATACGGTGACGATTGTTCCAGAATGCAAGCTCATGAAGTCTGCCGTCTAAGCCTTGTATTGCTGATCAACACGGTTTTTCATGAGTCGCCCCCGGGAGCATCGACCAGCGACATACTTATCTCGCAGTTACGGCGGCTTCTGGAGGATGCTGCAGTACTGGCGTGGCTTCCGCCCACCTTTCATCTCTGGACCCTGTACCTCGCTACCTGCAATGCTGCATCTCCCCCATTAAGAGCTTGGTCGCTTGCAGCTATGTCGGAACTGGTGATGCAAGTAGGCATCTCGGATGAGGAAGAGTTCAGTAGACAACTCACCTTGTTCCCATTTGACCCACCCACACATACTGTCATCTGTCCAACAATATGGGACGGGGTAAACTTCTTTATTCAGGATCAGTCGGGAGGGGGAAGCAAAGCGAGTTCATATGGAATAATATAAAGAAGTCATAGACGGGGGAGCATGACCTGTTGTTGTTTCTCATAATGAATGTATATAGCATGGATTTCTCTGAATCATGTAGTTGGTTTGTCAATACCTTCATCCCCAGAGCAAGCGTATGCTTATGATATGGGAGAACATTGGGCTGTTACTGTCAGTAAATCTGAATATCTGTGAATGGTGGTGGTCACATGATCTGAGGCCACCTCTTCATCTTCCCTCTGGCTCCACGTTTCTTCCTCCTGGCATGTATCTCGAGCCATCCAATTTGCGCCGTAGCCGAGAATATCTTCGTTCAGTCACCCGAACATTCCGACAAGAGATGGTTTATTAACGAAGAAATGTCAGGGAATAAGTATATAACTGCCAGGAGGAAAGGGTAACTAGTAAGCGAAGGCAAAACAACAGCAAGTTTTTATACTGTGAGAGCTCCGCCTCCCATGCTTCTCATGTGACCCTTATATCATCTGTCACGTGACCTAAACTATTCTGACAACCAAGAACGGCATCAGCCAGTGAATATTTAGAGAATAGGTCCACCAGCCCTAATAAAAAAGGAATTAATATATTATTTATTAAGCTAGAGTCTATTATAGTATTGAAATACATTTCATAGTTACAGAGTTAAGATTTTCAGGCGGGCGTAGAAGAAATATAGAGATTAGTTAAATAGTGTCAACTGTCAAGCTAAGGCAGGAATAGAAACTATAAAATTCCTATAAGTATCCTTCAAGGTCTTATAGCTAGAGTTATAGGTGAAGGTTTTCTTGACCCTGTGGATGTCACTGCTGCACAGCCCCTCATCGCTGGGTCCGGTGACAAGAAGCGGCAGGGCGTGAAAAGCGTTATGTGGAAAAATGAAGACATCCGAAATACTGAATATAGCTATAAGCTCAAAGACCAGGTCAGGCACCACATTTTTATCTACTATTGTAAGATGTTGTTCCCGGATGATATGGATATTATGGATAGAAAGATCTTTATCAAACTAGAGCTTTATCCTTTGGGAGAAACGCATGCAAGTCTATATGCAACCTCAAGCTCTGAAGCTCAGTGTGATCCGGCCCTCCGTATAGCCTTCCGGGTTAGATACACCGATTCCTTCAGTCGTGAAGTGGTATACTATGCAACAAATTCAACTATAAATATAGTATTCAAGGCGAACACCTTGGTAGAAATTCTAGAGAAGAAATCATTGGAGAAGATCTTATAATTCCCAAGACAGTTTATCCACATTAATAATAAAAATAATGCTCATCCTCTGCTTGAACGATATAGGCGTGGGGCATATACCAGTCCACTACCTCGTTAATCGTGTGTTGATGTGCTTTTCCATGTACCCGCCTCCTCTTCCTTCCCTTTCCTTTGTTGCATTGAACATTCAGCGTCTATCTCGGACGTCACCGGAGGGGGAGCTGATTGAGATAAAACACCATCTTGCTAGGTAGTATACTGTCAGTAACATTATCATGACCCAGCCAATTATAGTTTCTTAAAGTGCATTCATTACGAAGATAATAAAAGGAAAAAAAAGAAAAAAAAAACTTTTAAAGCCCCTGGTGGGGATCACCCACAGCCTTAAGATCAACTTCCTAGAAGTCTTACGCGCTACCGATTGCGCCACAGGGGCCTTCTTGAGTAATGGCCGCTCCGCGTCATGCAATATCTTCTTGCATTTACAACAACGTCTTGAGGTTAGACAAAAAAGCATGGGAGCGGGCCCTTCATGTGAATATCAGGCACGATGTCGATGCGCAAACAAGTCACATTTGGAGAGGGCAGAGATCTCTTTGGATGATAGAAGAAGGATGAGATGACATAAGAAAGAATTCATAAGGACAGAAGGGAGGCGCCTCATATGTCAAGAAAGCTGAAGTTGAATGCAAGATAAAAAAAAGAAAGAAAAAAAAAGCCCCTGGTGGGGGTCGGAACCCACAGCCTTAAGATCAACTTCCTAGAAGTCTTACGCGCTACCGATTGCGCCACAAGGGCTACCTGTGTGAAAACTCCTTTATAGGAGTGGCACATGAGGAAGCCCTAACTTGGGGGGACCGGAGTGCCCCATACAGACGCGCCCGTTACTAATTTTCTCAAATTTCGGCAAATTCATAACTTCTTCGCCCAGGAACTTACTATGTCAATTAACCACAAACAATGCGAAGCGGGGATAGTTTTGTTCACCGACACGGTAATGACTCAACTGCGCGATCATGGAGGACTAGCCTACCAAACTCATCAATGATCTAAACTACAACTCCACCCTCTTGACATGCTCGTGTAACTGCACTTTCCCACGAGCGTGAACGGTGTGAATGGTGGTGGTCACGTGATCAGAGACCACCTTATCATTCTCCCTCTAGCTCCACGTTTCTTCCTTTGGTCACGTATCTCGAGCCACTCGTTCCCTAGTAGCCGATAAACGGAACTATAGGCAGGCAAACAGTCTACCACACATAGGCGTTGACAGGGGAGAGATCTTTCAATACGAGAGCTGGCTTGACATGCGTAGATTTAGTCTAAAATTATTATCATTTACTACTATTTCAGTGATTTTTTTTTTCCTTTTCTCTTTCCTATATTTCAGTAATCTATTGCACTCCTTCACATCTATGAGAGAGGTGTTGTAACTGATAGTTATCATATAAAACTTTCCTGCGGTCACCTCAGTCGGAGGTCCCCAAGGGACCTGCGTCCGAGTAAGGCTTAAATCAATCAATCAATCAATCAATGGATATAAACAAGGGTCAAGATAGTTCAGGGTTGCGTGATTCACTGTCAGTGCTGGAACCAAATGATAATCCACTAATGGAGACTACTGGGATGTAACGCAAGAATCACTTCGATCCAATTAGATGGACAGTAGACTTTGGGTGTTCTATGGTACAATCTACCTAACTATCCTACATTAATAATGAGCTTCATCCAACAACAATTTCCCGGAGCCACTACGCACTCCACTTCCTGTAGGACAACCAACCAAGACAAAGTACCAAACTTGAGAGACAACACAGGACCCAAGTAGCGATCTATAGTGGAACCCATGGTCCTCCAACAGGCGTACTCGGCGACCTCAACAAAAGCCCCATATTCTCCTCCTCCGCCAGAACCGCCTCAATATCCCTGGCGCGCATTAAATTCCACCAACGCCGAAATTCCTCCCGGAAACACTCAGGATCATACAATGACCCAAACATAATCGGTCGAGGTTCATCATCCGGACCATTCCCCAAGCCAGCCGTCGTCATCCGAGCAAGAGCCAGCCTCCACCACCTGGTTTGTTCCGACCAAGTACCGAAATTGATCCTCAGAACCAACAGGGTCTCAATATACCGAGCGGGCTTTGCCATTATAACCGGCGCAATATCCTGCGGGAAGCGGCCGAAGTTAGGCTGACCATGTTGATACCCCGTCACTGGTAATCGGCCGTCATTACTCAACATGTAGGACAGGTTCGTTGGACGAGGGATCCCAGTCGGGATTGGGGGATTGCCGGGGAAATACCACCGCTTGGAATAGAGGCATATATCGATGTGGGGTAACTCTCCTTGTGCTGCTGCTGATGGTCTCAGAGCGCCAAGTCCTTGTGGAACTGAAGACGGCATCATGGTGATCTCGGGGTGGCTGTAGACGTGGAAGCGGTGGGTAGGAACAGGACGGCCTGATTCGGGGGTTGTGGCAGCGGCTGAGGCGCAGCGTAGAAAGTAGGGAAATTCATGGGAATATTCATAGTTACGGAAAACGGTGGCGGCTCGGGTCATGTGCTCGTCTTCGAGTATGAGATCGAGGTTCTTCAGGCAGTTAGCGTGCAGAAGGAAAGATCAAGGGAGGGTATGTACCTGAGCTATGCTGTGGAATCCCATAGCCCTCACCGCTAGATCACCACATAGTAGACACGGAATACCCTCTGTTTTGAGAACCGAGCTGATTGATGAAGCGAATCTGTAGGAGACAATCGGGGCTTGTGGGCCCTCGAACAGGAAATGGTACATGGATTGTTGTCCTGCCATGGTGGTAGAGATACGGTAGAGATACAGACGTACAGCCGCCGGGGATAATGGATGTTGAATGAAAGACGGTAACAAGAAGGTGATAAGTAGGAGTCTTACGATCCGGATGTAAAGAAGATAGAAGGATAAGTTGTAGAGCTCCATATAAGTTGAGGTGCTAGCTAGCATGGCTTTCCTCCATAGCTCTTGCCTAATGGATAGTGATCTATGAGCTCAGTACAGGGAAAGGACCGAGACATTGTGTTGTAAGCCCTTAGAAACCACGAGTGTTTCCCCTTCTAGTCCGTTACCTCCTACAGTCAGTAATGTACTTGTATGTAGTAGGTAGATATACATACAGCACCTACGTCGAAGCGATCCAAGCAAAGCAAGATGTTTCATTTACAGCAGCATAACTATGTACTGTCTATAGCCTTATCTGACTCGGAGAATGGGAAAATATCATCCGAGTCCGTCGCGTTCGGGCTAAGTATTGAAGGAGAGCTCTGCTGCGAAGGTCGTCCCCAATGGCCAGAGAGAGGTTTTGTCTCGGGTTCATCAGGCACCCCAGTGGCGGGAATCGATGCAGTAACCTCGCGGCTTAACTCTTTCTCCAATTTCTCCCGCAGTTTCGTGGATTCGTCGCTCTTATATTCCGTAAGCCTGCACGATTCCCACCATTCTCGGCATGTTTCGCTGAGGGTTTTCTTCTTAGGATCCAACTTGAAGAGATCGCCATATCGGCCCACATAGAAGAATTTCTCACAGTGTTCTTCCAAAGCTTTACCCCAGTGGCATGTGAGTTTATCGTGGTGCTTGTCCCGCACCTTCAGGTTAATCAGGGCCTCGGCTAACCGAGCAGGCGTGGGCAGGATCAGGGGATTTCTAGTAGGCGGATGATTCCTCGGTCGGTGAACTCCCTCACTGTGGAGTCTATGGTCCAATGTTAGCATGAAATTCTCGTCCTCCTCGTTGATCTCCGTCTGCACAGTGAACTTGGGAAGTCTCCACAGCACATCCGACTTGCGGTGGATTCTCAGATCGTGGTGCTGTCGAGGACCTCTGTATCCATCGTATAAATTCATTTCGCGTTCAGCGAACAGATCAAACAAATGAAAAACGTGGAAAGGCTTGAGCTCGTTGTCAGGATAGGCTCCTTCACTGTAGGGGCAGCCCGGGTACTTGTCCTCGTCCCTGAACCCAGCCTTGCGCAAGGTTTCAATGGCAGCTTTGATCTGCTCGTCCTCAACTACAAGGTCGATTGATAGTATTTCCTGCTGCAATAGTAAGCACTAAGCCCTGTACGACATAACGATTAATATAAATTAGACCCACATTTTCTTGACGGTAATCTTCGAAGATCGTCTGTAGGATAATACCCCACAGTACACAGGGGATAGGGGGGTCTGCTTCTTTGAGAAGATGACTCGCATTTGATGCTATGATAAATGTATCAGTTTGTCCATCATACCTTTCCCCAAGATAGTCATACTCTCTTTTCCAGCAGGGGGATGGTGGTCGATAGACATAGGATGAGCTACTCTCAGTCGTAAGTGAAGGACCGGGCGATGCTTCATTGTCCGCTTCTAAGGTCTCTGATGGCGCTTTCTTGAGTGACATAGTGTCCCCCATAAGCGAGGCACTAGGAGATGCGTCCCTCTCTGATGGCAGACCCTGGGGCGGGGTATCTTCTTTGAAGAAGATTGAGCTGGGTGAAGCATCGCTGAGAAGCGAGCCAGAGGGTGAAGGGACGTTGTCCATTGCGGATCAAAGGTGGAGGCTTGTATAATCTGAGTCAGTAGTTCAAGGCCCACAGGTCGTTTTATGTTATCCACCGATGATACTAAAGGTTGTCTACCATGTGTCTCCCATCTCCCTTTTATAAGATCATCGTACCAGTCCCCGGCTCGAAGGCAATGAGGAAGAATATAGGGATGTTGCGCCTCCACGGCACTTAATTCAGGGAAGATCCTGCTCATGGATGAAGCCATCTCTCCTCGTGGCTTGGGATGGCGTTTGGAGTTTGATTTGAATACCACACGCTCGCATGAGATAGCTTGGGGCATTCCGTCGTGCTGCACAGGCTAGTCGTAGTATTTTTTTCATCCAGGAGTGATAGGAAGAACCGGCTCATTCAGATTAATTAGAATCTCTGAGCCCACGGTATCTACCAAGGAAAGGAAAGATAAAGGAACTACAAGCAATACTGGTCTGAGATCGCCGACAGATGTACATACGGCGAAGACATAATCACCGGATGATGTCGTGATATGTTAGCAGTTGCGTCGCTCATCTAATTCAGCATGGCATCTTTTCGAGGGTAAGCAGATTACATGGAATACAAGAGATGTTCGTGAGTCCATTCATTGATTGTGCAACATCTCAAGCAGTGAATTATATACTAAATACTTTTATCCTGTACAATATCTCTGTGTCCATCATAATTACATTCCTGACATTCGGTTCTCATTCCACGTCAATTGACTTATAATCAGCCGTTGCCATAACTTTCGAATAGACCACGCAGCTTAAGCGTGGAACTTCTTACTACCAGCGACGTTGGATGGCTTAAGAAGGGTAAGGGAGTCACCAACAGTGCCATCATCACCACGAATCAACTCCCACTTGAGAGCCGTTTCGTTGAAGATGGTCAGCTTGCTGAAGCCATAGTGAACCTTGTCCAGCAATGCGGTAATGTTGGTCAAACCCTCGCCGGAGCTAAATTCGCTGTGGCTCTCAATGTTGCCGGCCATGCCGTTGATGATGTGGGTGATGGACTTGCCGTTGTGGGCGTAATAGGTGTTGTTGTTGACGATAGCGGCAGTGTCGATGGTGCCATTAGCTCCTAGGGGGTAGAGACGCTCATACCAGTGGATGTGGCTGGAGAGCAACTTGGTTAGCGGTTGACGCGGAAGGGTTAGAACAGAGGGAGAATTCACCCAGAGAAGTAGGCGTCAACGCCGTACTTGAGGAGCAGACCCTCGAACGCCTCGCGCACGTGCAGCT